TGCACAGCAGAGCAGCTCTAATCCAGCTGATTACACAGAGCATATCCATTGTCCAAAAGTTTTATTTTCACTCTTCCCTCTAAAACCAACACCAGAATGAGTCACTTGAAATTATTTTTTAGGTGAGTTTTTAAAGACTGAGTTGCCCCTGCCCTGTGACAACATGCCAGGAAACCCCTGGGAACTCTCCCAGCAAACTGAGAGGGAATGAATGCCAAACAGGCTGAGCTGCTCAGCTCCTCACCTCCCCCAGCATGGGCTTGAACATGTTGACAGCAGGGTGGTATGAAGATGGTTTTGTCCCCTACAAATCTTTTGGATAAACAGGATTGTGCTCTACACCAGAAATCTCTCTTTGTAACTTCAGTCAATATTTTCTTGGCTTGCCACTCTTGACAGTCATAAAACAGCTCTCTCTGGAATACGTTGTTCAAATTAATCAGCTGTCAGCTATTCTTTTAAACCTAATAATAGAAGGTCTGCATGAGCCTGTGAGAGACTGAAACATGGGAATGTGACTTGTGCAGCTGCAAATGTTTCTATACTGCTGCAGCTCTCCAATTGTTTTTTGCTCTCTACAAAGAAGGCATGAAACAGCATTGTAGGGAACAGGTCTTGGACTGTCAAAATTGCCCAGCTGCCCTCAGCATGCCCATAAACGTGGTAAATGTTTGGTGACACCTTTTAACTTTCAAGGAAGCTTTAAAGACAGAAGGGATGTTCTGGTCACAAACCAACAGGTTCAGCTGGCCCAGGAGAACAGATAATTTGATGTCTTGTATCCTGTGGATGCCAGACTATGCTCTTGCCATTGGAAAAAGTTTTAGCCTCCAATTCATCTTGTTGTCATCAAACTGCAACAGGATGGGCAGAAAGGGTTCCAGGAGGAATCACTGCCTCTGAGAGGATGGGGAAACAGGACTCCTCTGAGCAGCCCCTTGACTACAGCAGTTTGGCTCCAAGTGGGCAGAGAAGATTAATATTACGTGAGGCTTGAACTCAGATTAAGAGCTGGCACTGGAGGAAAACCAACTGTGCAACACTCCTGTAACTGCTTAGGGGACTCTGTTGTCATATGAAACTTAGGAAAAACTGTGAGGCTCTGTTCAAAAAGCCCTCAGGTTGGAAGCAGGAAGCATGTTTGCAAAGCCTGATGAAGGAACAAGAGCAGCACCTGCTTCTTCCAGGTCTGCCTAAAGCTGGTACCACCTGGGGACTTTGCCTCTACCAGCAGTGAGTCCATTTTCAGCCCAAAAAAAATACTTTTAAAAGCCTCTCATGCTTTTAAGAGAAAGAAGCAGTTTAAATCCCAGACTGGGAGCCTTAATTATAATGGTTTTGTGTGAAAGTTGCCAGATCTTGCCCTGCTCTGTGATCAGGGCTGTGCCAAGAGTCTGCTTTGTGTCACACTAGCAACTGTGCTAAGTTCAGCAAAGTAACTGGGTCAAAGATGCAGAGCCAGAAGAGAGATCACTGATTAGCACTAATGAGAGCCTTCACTGCAGAGCAGAATGACAGTGCCATCGTGTCGAGGTTCTTGCTGCAATTCAAGGTAGCCATACCCATATCCAGTGTGAGCTGCACAGAACAGATCCTTTGGTGTGTCACAGTTTACACCTTGGGAAGTCATTCATGACCAGAAAACAGAAGATGAGAGGAAACCACTGAGAACTCGTTGTTCATACTGCTGGAATTGAAATTAATTAACTTCTAGAAAATCAGGAAAAATTTAAGCACCCTCATGACCAGCTTTACCAAACACGCAGCACTGTTTTCAATCAATTAATTCTACCTATAATGGGCATGAGGTTACAGATGAAGAATAAATTATTGAACCTGAGATCAGTAATGTTACATCTGTCCACAATACCAGGTACTCTGAAGATCAATCTTCAATGGAAACAGCAGAAACAAAGAAAACTACAGGGTGTTTCCAATGTCTCACAGACTTTCCCTAAGAAAAATAGAAAGGACTTTGTAGTAATCTAGAGAAAAGAATAAGAGCAGAAATTACTAGAGAATGTTATAGGCAAAGTCAATCCTTGGCTTCTAGATAGCCTCAGCTCATTTGCAAAGCAGTGTATTTCCAAGTAATAAGGACAAATATGTCAGGATAGCAGTTAACCTGGAATTGGCCTCAACAGACAACACAAACATCTGCTGTCAGCCTCTGGATAGATGGTGTGCAAGGAGTTACAGAAGACAGGATCTGTGCAAGATGAAACAAGCAATTAAAACACTGTACCTCAGAATATAAAAATTACTCAGTAGAAGTCAAGAACAGAGAACAAAAAAGTTTTCTAGTGTGTCCCTTCACTTTCCTTCTAAGTATAGTGAGACAGAAAGCAATTCATCTCACCAGAGAACCTCACCAATGTCTCTGGAAAACTCAGAGCCACTGACTATCCACAGACAGTACATGGGCATTCAGCCACTGGCAGAAACACGGTGGACACCTGGGACCAGTGAGGAGATTTATATCAGGACAACACAAAGCAATTGTGTTTGAAATACAGAAATGAATGCACTTATAAAGTGACAGCTACAGAAAGCTGGAAATGCTGAACTAAGGACATGTCCAGAGGTGCTGTGTTGAACAGAGCTGTTATATCTGCACAGACTCCTGCAAGATCTCCACCTTCCTTACCAGCTATACCAGCAGCCTTCCTGAATTGCTCACTCCCTCAATAGATGAAAAAACAATGGGTCAATCTTCTTACAATTGTAGTTACAAATATATTATAATTTTTATGATTTTTTTCCTACTTGTAAGGTATACATGGCATGACTTATGAAAGCTTCATTTGAAACCATTCAGAATGCTAGAACTTATGGAAATTATCTTAAAGGACCAAGGGAATGATGCCTTGTATCACTTTTCAAAGTAACTTGCAAATGCTACAGCACAGACCATTAAGGGAAATGCCATTCAGTCAGAAACCTTGGGAGAGAATTCACCAGGCCTGCTGCTGCATCACAGCAAACAGATACACACCAAAACCCCAGTGCTGCCTTTGGAATACCCAGTTTGCAGCACCTTGCAGAGCTCTCTCAGGCTTCCCAAGATGATCATCTGTAAAATGTAAGCACTTAAAAGCAGCAGTTGTAACGCTGAAAATCATTAAATTTGTCTGTCTTAGAAATTCCAGAGACCAATAGCATTTTTCCCTCAAATGAACCTTAAAGTTGGGAAATAATCCGTGTTCCTTCTTAAGGAAGGAGATGGTCCAAATTAGCACACCAGCTCCACAGATATTTCATTTCTAGTTAAAAACAGCACAAGGATTTCCTATTAAACTGGTGCCAACCATCAAAGAGATTATTTATTTTTTTTTCCCCCCAAAGCAGGCTATTGATATTTGCTAACAGTAGTATTTCTTTATGCAATCAAGCTGGTAGGCAAGGGGTGGACAGCAGTGTCAGGCAGTGCTGCTGAGCCCTGGGTTTGCAGATGACAGCTGTCAGTTCTGCTCCAGCACAGCCTGCTCCTCCTGCACGAGTGCTCTGGGGTGGGTCACAGCTGTGACAGCCTTTTCTCCCTAAAGCCTTCCTGGAACTCCCTTCTGAAGCACAGCCCTTTAATCGAGGAACAATTTGCACACACACACACACTTGTAAACAACAGCGAGGAGGGGAGGTGGGATAGGAGGATCCAATTTCCATTATTTCCCCTCTAGGAAGGTTTGAGGAGAAAGTGGAGATCAGCATCACCATTATCTGCAGCATGTGTTATTAGCAGCCAGGCTGAAGCCAGCCAGCGGCGTCTGGCATTGTTTGGAGCAGCACAAAAGACTTTCTGTTTGGAAAGTTCAAGAAAGAAAAGGCAGAGCCTGTGGCCTGGTCCTGCAGTCAAAAGAGTGACACAGAGGCTGGGAAGTTCTCAGGCAGAGGCTGATCCCAAGCCCTTTGAAGTTGACGGGAAAACTCCCATGGACTCCAGCAAGCTTTGGATCATGCCTGAAACACACCAAAGGGAACAAAGCAAAATAAAAGTAGAAATGAGCATCTCCAAAAGGGAATTTAAACAGTGCAATGGTGACCTAATAGATTCATCATGGTTGCTGATACAATGTGGTTTTGTGATGTTTGGTCAGGTAGGATTATATTAGATTTTTAAGTCTTTTCATTAGGATACAGCAGTTGTACACTCATCATTAGGTATTTTACTGCTTAAAATGCCATGCATGGTGCCCTAGCATTGAGTGTTTAATATGACATTTAACAAAAGGAAAGCTGGGAAGAAAACTCCCTCTCAAACTGCTGAAATTATGAGTTTTCTGCTTTCTTTCTCCACTGTCTTCTCCCAAAAAGGCTGGTCTACAGCTATGAAATACACAGGCTAGGACTGAAAAACCTTATTAAAAACAATGCTGCCAGCATCATCTATTCATGAGCAGTCGCTTGAGAGAGAGCCCAACCCAGAAGAAACTCTATAGCAGCACATTCTCCAAACAATTACTAAAGGATCCCAAGCGCAGGGAGGCTCCAAATCCTCTGCTTAATTATAGTTTAATTAGTTTTCTCATTAAAGGTGAATACAGGAGCATTCAAGATGGAAGAAAAGTCTTCTGATTTCTGTAACATTTCCATAATAATTTTCTTGCATACAGAAGTAATCATTGCAGTGGGTTTAAGCTTTGCTGCTGTCTGGGTACTAAAGGATATTTTCTGGGAGTTAATTTGTTACAAACTTTTTTTTAAAACACTTCTTGTAGCCTTTGCACAAGATTCAACAAAGAGCCAAAGTAACTCCCTTCCCCCCCCTCCCACCCCAAAAACAAAAAAATGCAGGATGTTTCCTCTTTCCCTGGCTAATAGAATCCAACTGTTCCTGCATGACATCATTCCCCAGAGTTTGGGAATCCAAGCTCACGCCGGCACTCTTGGCTGGGAGTAAACACCACCACCGATTAAAATAAATAAATAAATAAAATTTTTTTTAAAAAAAAATCAAACTTTACAATGGGAGGACATAACATTAAAAAGGCAATTTTTGTTACCTGAAATTTGGAGCATTTCCCTTTCCACTCCATTGTCAGATTTGTATTTCCCAGACAAAACTCTGTGTTATTATCTGAGGCAATCAGAAAACCAGTCGTTTAGTGTCTAATACCTGCTGTGCTTCCCATAACTCCTTCATATGCCCTCTCAGAGCACTGATTGCAGCTGGAATGATTGCAGGGAGCACAGCCTGGCCAGGCCAGTTGGCATGGAGATCTCTCCCCCCTCTTTTTTCATAAGCGCGCGCACACAGATTTAAACAATTCTGGGAGGCATCCACAAAACAGCACGCCTTTTCATCAGCTCCGTTTGGAAACATTCCACCCCTCCTCCAGCCCCTCCCCACAGTCAGCCCAGGAAGCTGAGATTTGGGCAGGGATCGATTGTGGAAATTAGAGATATTGCCTTCTAAAAAAGAGAAGCGGTCACAAAACTTGTAATTTTTTTTTTTTTTTCCCCCCAGAAGTAAAAAAAGAAATGTTTGCTCACCAAAGCTTTGAACTAAAAGTAAATCTATCGCATTCAGACCTGCAGACTATTTGTCTTTGCCTGCCTAGTTACAAATTTGATATGTGAAAGCACTAAAGCTTTGTTGAAATACAATCATGCAGATTACAAGAAATGCTGCTGACACAGCCTGGCTGCTTACCTTGCTGTGCTCCCAGTACCGAGCCAGGGACTCAATTAGCACAGGTATTCATAAGGTCATGCAGGATTTCCTGTATGCTTTCATGTTTCTGTAATTAAGATGAAAATTGAGCAGGTCAGGAACATGCAGCTCAAACAAACAAACAGAAGAAAATCCCCCATCTAAACAAGAGCACAGAGATACATCTGGAAGTTTTCTCATATTGACTGTAAATTAAAGTGCCTCTTACCCAAAATTTGCTATCTCCCAGTTAAAGGAGAAACCCATTTCACTGACATTTGTGAAGACAAGAACTGATTAGTTTACCATATTCACTGGCACCATGGTTGCAAAACAAAACTTACTCCAAACATAAATAAAGACATACAATATTTTTTCCTTGACAAAAAGAATCCAAATTAATCCCCACCAACGTCATATAGGAAAGTCTGGACTGATAAATCAAGAGAACAGAAAATACTTCATAAAAATGAAAAAACATTTATTAAGAAAACTCAGTTTAAAAAATATTTGAACTCAGAAGAAGAGTACTGTGCCCAAAGTTTTTGTACTTGGAGAAATACCTTGGAGACTTAGTCTTTAGAGGATTTAATCAGAGTCAGTCATTCAAAGTTTTAAAACTTCATAAAAGATACTGAAGGGACTTCATGAGTCTGTGTTCTGCAATGAGCTGTACAAGCAGCAGTCCCTCTAGCGGGCAGAGGATTGCAAAGCTGCCTATGCCAAGCTAAATGGGAAATCAATCTCTTCTGTATCTATTAACCACTTCATTGTGCTGTTATGATGCTCCACTCCTGCATTTTAAAACTCAGCACCAGCATATGAAATCCTTTCTATGTTATCTTGGGAGTTGAACACGAGAAAACCTACATGATATAATCAACACAATTAGGTTTCTACATGAGGAGATTAAAGAGTTCCAATATATTACTCTTCTGCTTGTGTGAGATAGCCAAGATGT